GTTAGCCCAGAGAACTGAGCAATGTTTTCTGTTTAACATTCTGGTATCTCAGTGTGCTACATAATGTTAAATAAAATTCTGTGGAGCTGCCTTGTTACTCCTGTCCATAAGTGACAGAAATGACTTATGCTCGCATAAAGCAGAAGCACATGAGGATCTTTGCTACAGCAGTGCAGAAGCCCCGTTGCCCCAAGGAAGCCCACCGTTGCCGGAGATGGAGAGGTCGTGGGTGCGAAAGCTGTCCTGCACGTGTTCCAGCGTCAGAGCGGTGTGCGCCAGTAGGTGATACTTCGGACCCCTGAGAACAAAACCACACACAACGGCCAAACAAGTGAAATCAGGAGGTCAGGTCGGAGGGCAGGACCAGATCGGGGACATCCGGGCTGGGGGAGGGAGGTTATGAGCTAGATCAGTGGGTAGAAGCTGGCCGGTGGGTGAAGGCGCATGTCTCGGTCAGTCCTCGTGTGGCGGAGTGTGAGTGTAGGGGACAGCTTGTCAAACTGGACGTGACCGCACGTCAGTCAGGTGGACAGTGCCCGACGTACAACGCGCGGCCGTGTGGACGGAGGGCTCCGGGGTACTCACGGGACCGTGGGCGAAGGCAGCAGCATGGGGCTGCTGCCCCCGTTGCTGACAGGGCTGCCGCCCCCCGGCTCCAGCGCGGCTCGGACCTTCTTCCCCGAGGAGCGCCCCAGCGAGCTGCTCAGCTTGCTGGCGAGTTTCCGGGGCGCGCTGCCCACAGAGAAGTCCTCCTCCGTGCAGCAGCTGTACAGCTCCACGCGCAGCTGGAACCCGGGGCTGGCGTCAGTGCTGCAGGGACACAGCGGCGCGGTGAGCACTGCCGCCCGACACTGGGACACTGGAGACGGGCTGGCACGGCCACTGACAAGGGCACAGCCAGCAGGGGTCAGGACAGGGGCGATGGAGTGAGGCAGAAGGGAGACTCACAAAACGATGGTGTTGTCGAAGCAGATGTCGGTGAGCGTCCTGTCCACCATCACCATGTCTGTGTCGAAGATCTCTCCTCCCAGCTGCAGCAGGCAGAACACAGCACAGCGGTGCAGCTCTGAGGGACAGCGAGAGTGAGAGAGGGTGAGGGTCAGAGAGAGTGAGAGAGGGTCAGGGGGCTAGAGACAGCAAGAGAGGGACAGAGAACGAGAGAGTGAGAGAGGGACAGAGTGAGAAAGAGTGAGAGTGCGCTGGCGAGGAAGAGGGTTCATGAGTGATAGTGAGACTGAGGGAGTGACAGTGAAAGGCACAGTGATGGCGAGAGTGAGAGGAAGGAGGAGAGTGACAGAGAGTGTGAGACTTACCAGAGCTGCAGCCAAGTTAAGTGAGCTCCTACCACAGCCCAAGGAACAGAAAGTCAGCGTCCTGAATGATAACCTTTCATTGTGAATGTCAAT